GCCGCGCGGCGCGGGGCGGCTGCGGGAGGGGGCGCACGATGGGTTTGGGGACGACAGGCGCGTGCGGCCGCGGCGGGACTGAACGGCGACGCCGCGCGGCGCACGGCGCGCCTGTTCCGTGCGCTGTTGCCGCAGCATTTGTTGCCTCTGACCCATCAGGGGCTACTCCAGCCGCGGCCCCCTGTTTTTGTCGGGCGGCGCCCGCCAGACGCCTGCGGCCCTGTGCCCCTTCCCACTTTCCTTAGACCCCGCTTTTGCCCCAATCTGACTATCAACCTCCTGACCGTGGCCCCTGCTGGCCCCAAGCGCCGAGCAAGCCGCCACCAGGGCGATCCAGCAGGGCCGCGGCCCCCCTTCTCTCGCCGCGACCCCGCCTCTGGCGCCGCCGGCACGGCCGCCCTCGGGCCGCCGGGAGCGGCGTCGGCCGCCCGGCTTTCGGTTTTGTGCGGGAGAGCAGTGTGCTCTTGAAGCGTCTGCATGCACCTACGCATGGCCTGTTTTTAACCCTTTTGCGCCAGCGCCCGCGACACCCTCACCCCTGCGGCGCGCGCCGCCGCGCCGCGCGGCCCAGCCCCGTCCGCCCAGCCGCATTTTCGGGCCGTGCCGCGCTGGGGCGCCGCGCGGCCCCGCGGGTGCGGGCGCGTCGGCCTGCGCGCGCGTGCGCAGCCCTCTTCTTCACAGGGGCCATCCGCAGCACCCGCAGCTGGCGGGTGGGTTCCCGACTGCGACGGCCTGAGTAACCACCCTCACAGTATCAAATGACAGGGGCCTTGGGATGGTGGCGTCACTGACAGGGGTGGGTGACGTCATCGAAAGCGCCGCATCGCTGCAGCTTTGTGTTGCGCCCAGAACACAGTGGATCGTTTTGGGGTGAACTGGACATGCTCCTGCTGGCAGCCGACCCCAAAAGCAAGAGAGCCCAAGACACATCCGATCCGCAGGGTTACAAGGCCACCCAGGGGATGGGAGGTGGCAACGAGGCGCTCTGGGGCGCAGGGCCGCTTGAGATAAGGCAGGGCAGGCGGCCGCTCATGGTGGGCGCGTGCGAATGAAGGCACACATATCGGCACTTGCCTTTGACGAAAGAACCAAAGAAAAAAACTCACTCTACACAAAAAAAACTCACACTCAGGAATCAAGCAAAGCCCAAACCCCAACAAACTGCAAAGACTGCAAGGCGCAATCGCAGCGCCTCCTGAATTCCAAGGCGCCCCGTCACGGCGCGCCCGCCGCCCCCGCGCCCTCCGGCGGGGCGTCCCGCATGAGCTCCGGCCACCTCGCCGCGACCGCCCCCGCGCTCCGCACGTCCCACACGCCCACCGTCCCCTTGGCGCCCGCGAGCGCCAGCAGGTGCGGCGCGTCTGCGCCGCAGAAGCCCGCCGTGAAGATTGCGCCCAGGCCGGCGTCCTTGCTGGCGAGAAGCTTCGGGGCGTCACCGGTGACGTCCCAGAGCTTCGCCTTCTTGTCCGTGCTCGCGGTCGCGAGGAGGCCGGGGGCGGCCGGGCAGAAGCTGAGGGCGCAGGCGGGCTTGTCGTGGGCCGCCAGGCGGAACAGCGGCTTGGAGCCTGGGTGTAGGGTTTAGGGTTTTAGCGGGGCCGTTTGGATCAGCAGGGAGTGGTAGGGTTTGATGCGAGCGCGGAGGGGCAGGAGCTCAGGGTAAGGGGTAAGAGGGAAAGGGGTGCAGCGCGGCCGCGCGAGCCCCGCCCGGCTGCGCTTGTTGTTCAAAGAGGATTGAGGACGTGTGCGGATGTCGCTCTGGCATTTAACCCCCGAGGCCTGGTGTGAGGGGCCGCGGGGGCTGATAAACAGTTCGTTTCGGTCTGCGGAGGTCCATCAGCCGGGCGCGGGGCTTGGGGCCCGCGCCAGGATAGTTTGGCGCCGCGCTGCTGGTGTCTCGCACGCCTGAAGGCCGCAAAAAGCGGGCTGCGCACCGGCGACGCCGCCGCGTGCGCCGCGTGCGCCGCCCCCCCCCCCCAAAAAAAGTGCCACGCGCGGAG